GGGTCGAGTCTTACAGCCTAACGCGGAAAATGGAGGAGCGTTAGACCTCCCCCACAGGGAGGGGAGCTGGCTACGTGTGTAATAGTTGAAAAACTGTTTTACTCAGGCTAGGGTATTTGAGGTACCATCACAGCCTCAACCATAGTTTTTCTATAGTGTTTAAAAATGATGGATGTTTAGCACTTGGGTTTTGGAAAGGATGTGTTTTGTTCAAAGCAAAAAGTGTTTTTTAGCAAACCTAGAACTACACGATATTCTTTGGAAGACCCATGTTGCCGCACTTGCGGGCTGGCTCGACGAGAGTGAATCCATGGCAAGACTTTTGTTTTTGCACCGAGTGAAGTTATCAGAGGCCCAACAATGATCCGAATACCGGATGGTAAAATTAAGAGAAAACATTAACATATCAAAAGACAACACAACAACAACATTTATAACATTTTTCGTGTCCATTTCACATTTTAAAATCAAAGTCTAGTTTTAGTTCATTCACTCATTCATTGAGATCGAATGATTCATTAGAAACACTACTACACTACAAATACTGCAGAATAATAACTATTAAAGGATTTGTCATATTACATTTGTACACTCAACCAGTCGGTCTCGCACTCGTCAATTGTTATACCTAAATTCCAATTTATATTTTAAATTTGTGATTCAAACAAAATTACAAGGGCAACCCACTCTTTACCCCTTGATATTAAAATGGAATTATAAACAATCAATTAGGGCAATAAGCCTCAGTTCAACAAATAGATACTATATGTAATTACCAATTTTTATAGCTATGTATATACTACTTCGATTTCATCTTCTTATATATTTACTAACACACCAGCCACTACCCAATACCTCCTCCCCTTCATGTTTTCTCTTCATACCACGGTTGCCTGTAAGAGATTGCCTCTGAGCGATAAGGCCGCCATTTGTACTAACCTAGTTTAAGATAATTATTGTATATTTATATCTGGTGTACAATAAAGGGATACATTATTATTATTACCTACCACAAACAGAGTGAAAGGTGTAAGTAGCCATGTACTTCCACAAAGGCTCCGCTCCGTCGCCGAAGGTTGACTTCACTTGTTTCACCATACTCTCACTTTGTTCAGTGAATACTTTCGCAAACTTGTTCAGGTTGGCTGGGCTGAATATAGGTGCATGGATCTTGCGACGTGGTTTCCAAATAGATACTGAAGGATCAAAATTCAATGATTACAGTCAATGCGGAAATGTATGGAATCAAGTTCGATTAACCTTTAATGTTGCGAAGTTAAAAAGACCCTATTGACTAATATTTCTTATTAAATAGTTACCTTATTTTGCACTATTAATTGACTCTCCAAGCTAGTCTAGAAAAAAGTGGGGAGACTCCCTCATAAACATTGTTTATTGTGATATTTTGTGCGTTATAAACAAGCGTACCTGGTGCGAATATAAGACCATTTCCAATAAGATTTCTTGCAAAGCGCGTAAGGTTATCCTTCTCTAAAGACCTTTTTAAAATTACTTCTATGTCGACGGCGTCTACTGAAACTGTAAAAAACTTTTTTATGAGGAAAAAAAATGTAACTAATCGATAAAAAGTAACTGTTCAGACATACGTGCGTAAAAGTTTGATCCTATCCATACATGTGTAATACCCCCGTTCTTAAGAGCATCACATCCAAAACTTTGTATTGCTTTCATACGCACTAAAACAAAATATATTAACATATGAAAACACATCATGCTCAAAGGACGAATTTCTAAAGTACTACCACAAATACATATCTGATGTGATGATACCTCAAATATCCTAGCCTGAGTAAAGCAGTTTTTCCAACTATTAAACACGTAGCCAGCTCCCCTCCCTGTGGGGGAGGTCTAACGCTCCTCCAACCGCGCCAGACTGTAAGACTCGACCCTGACTGGACATCTTCCCACTGGCTTTTAAGTTCGAATAAACAACAAAACACCGCGATAAGAGGGAATCAAAGTCTAAATGAAATAATTAAATACATTGGTATTGGTTGTGCTTATCCTATCAGGCTTCCATCCATTGTGCACTTAAGCTTAAAGTGAGTCAATCAACTTCTACAACTGAATGCTCAAGGCCGCAAGGTCAGACACGTGAATACTGCTCGTCTGATGTGGCATTAACCCTTATGCTACCGGACACAACGCGTGCGCCGACGGCGGACTCGGACCGCTCGATCTCCATCAATTCATCAACAGCATCAGCGCTTTCCCGCAAACCGACCACCCAGGACAAGCCCATTAAGACGCTCTCCACTCAAGTACACGACACTCACTGAACCTACACTAACCTCCTCCTAAATACACCACAATGACAGGTCACCGAAGGATAACCGTGTAGCAAGGACCGCGGCCTGGTTGATCTGATCAACCAAGGTGGTCATATCGCCTCAGTTATAACTCGATTCACCACACTGTAGAGCACTATAAAGGGGTCACTAATCATTCTATCACATTCAAGATATCTTAACCAATACCAAATGCGTAAGTAAAATTTAGCAGGGAAACTGCATGGAAACTACATCTAAATTATTAATTAATACTACGTTACTCAGACCGGCATATAATTATGTATAATATAATAACTATCCTAAACATCAAACAATTATCCTCAACAAACCTAAATTATCATAACCAATAAAGACTCACCTAGCTGTCCTCAACGTTCTATATATTTAACTTACTCAAATTAACTGCAATACGCGCGTCCGAGCACGTTCAGCTTTTGACGAACAACCTCTGCTTCCTAGCTCCTAAGACCGACCGACTTGTCTTACGACTCAAGACCAACTGCCCTGTTCCTTCCTCATTATCGTTCCTAAAAGGACTCCTATCTAAGGGCTTTTCTCACGCTTATTCGTGTGCTGTCTTGCACATGTGCCCGTTTTTAATGACTATTGTGGACCCTTGGCTATTCTCTTTTTTATGGTATTCGTCTTAAGAACGCAATAAGTCTTTTGTTCATAATGGGCCGTCATCCACTTTGCAATACTTGAGATCATAAAGTTCACTTATTTATTAGGGTCTGCTTTTTGTTCGTCTAGACCTTAAATGCACGTGTAGATAACTTTCTAACATTACTTGTTTAAAATAACATTTATGTGAAGTTTTATAATTACGTGATCGTAGTACTATCACATTTTCCCCCCTGAAATTCAGACGCGAAGAATATATCGAAGCGTATGGGATTTCACTTATCTTTAACTCGAGAACAGTGATTGTATTAGATCTTTGTTAAAATTTCTTTAACTTAGCAAATCGCATGATTTGTTGTAGTTGTATATATCCATGGTTCTCTACACATTTGGAAATCGGTTTGGCTGTCACGTCCCAGGCTCTACCTCACACCTTCAAACCCAATAATGTCAGGATACTTTCCAAGCAGTTTTTGGTTCATCTAGAACTAACCGCAGTGTTGGAATATTTCGTTGATAAGTTTTGGTAAATTTCCACTATAGCGTGGCAGTAGATGGGGTGATAGGAGTGGTTTTGTAGTATTTGAGTACGTTTAGCACACTCGATACCAATGGTAGGCTTTGATTTTGTTAGTTCGGTAGGTTTTGATTTGTGATAAGTCTCACATGATTTAACTAGTTATGTCCATTTTAACAAATTAGAATGTGGTAAACTGGTCCATTTGATTTATTATTTTTAAACAAAATAAGTATAAGTAAGTTAGTCCCATCGGCTTATTCCTCTAAGTCCTGGTAGTTTCATATAGAGCAGGTATGTGTTGGATAGACACAGTGGCTTATTCTTATAAGTCCTGGTAACTTCATAAATAATTGGTATAAGTTAGATAGATCCAGCGGCTCATTCTTATAAGTCCTGGCAAATTCATATTGAATTGGTATAAGTTAGATAGATCCAGTGGCTTATTCCTATAAGTCCTGATAATTTTATATAGAATTGGTATAAGTTAGATAGATCCAGTGGCTTATTCTTTTAAGTCCTGATAATTTTGTATAGAATTGGTATAAGTTAGATAGATCCAGTGGCTTATTCTTATAAGTCCTGATAATTTTATATAGAATTGGTATAAGTTAGATAGATCCAGTGGCTTATTCTTATAAGTCCTGATAATTTTATTTAGAACAGGCGCAAATAAGTTAGACCCAGCTGCTAATTTTTATAAGGCCTGCTAGAATCTTATCAAATGACGTTTTTCTTATTAGTATGTTAGTGAATTCTCATAACTGTTACGATGAGATCTATATATGCTCGTACATTAAACATTAATTGCAATATGAAGTCGTTCCTGAATTAACTCCACCTCCCATTTTGCTACATTATACTCCTTCCGTTTCTCACAAATAGAACTGACCAAAGTGGTACCTTGTAATAATTCAATTGATTGCATTACAATTGCAGTATCATATAAAATGTATAGTACATAATATTTGTTTAACGGTTTCCTGGCATTAAATAATAATAAGCTTACATACCTCGAGGTTTCAAGTAATAACAAATGTTACCAGATACAGTTACTCTGCACGCCCTCATTATGAACCAGCACCTTCATAATAGACCTTAATTTCACCATCGCCCCGTCTCTCTTCAGGTTTCAACGTCACTATGCCTTTCTTTCACGCTGCAATCTGCAGCCACGAAGAACAACTCCAACCGCGTGTCCCCCGTGGTATGTTTATACCATAATTCCTGAAACGTTATAATACCACAGCAGAGGATTTGTTTCGTAGGGATTGATTTCCATGGTTTTGACTGTTCAGGTTCAGAGTCACTAGGATAGACTTGAGACCCCTTTTTTTTTTTTTTTTTTTTTTTTTTTTTTTATATATATTGTTTTTTTTTTTTTTTTTTTTTTTTTTTTTTTTTTTTTTTTTTTTTTTTTTTTTTTTTTTTTGCATTATTCTATTAGTATAAGAACGTTATTAAATATTATTAGTATAATATCTTTTTAGATGTATAGCATTGTAAGTACCCCTAATTATTTTGGGATCCCCTGGATCCACTAAAAGTTAAGCATTAGTATATGGTATTCCGCCTACTTTATATGGCCCCTCATACAACAAGGAAAACTTCTTGCACACTTTATCCGACTTCTTTGAATAATTATCCCTCCTTATCTTAACTAAATCACCTATTTGATAATTTTCAATGTTATGTCTCTTGTTATACTGACTGATTCGACACTGAGCCATTTGCCTCAGATTCTTCCTCACATTCTCTCTTACCATTTCAACATCCAACAATTCTTTATTGTACACTCTTATGGCCTCGCAACTATCTACTGTTAGTTCTGGGCGTTCCCCTGTCAATATTTCTAGTGGCGTATACCCCGTACTGGCATGTATAGTATTATTATAACACCTTTCAATATTCGTTATAATCAATGCCCAACTACTGTGGGATCCATGGCAATAACTTCTCATTAATCGCCCTAACTCCTTATTCACTCTTTCAGTACTATTCGGTCTCGGGTTCCGTACTGTAGTATGTGAAACACGTATTCCCATTCCCTGCAATGTTTCATACCATGCCTTTGAAGTAAACTGTCTACCATTATCTGATACTATGGTTTTGATTTGTATTAACCCGTAGTACTTAACTACACTCTTTATGGCCGCTTGTGTTGTCGCTCTCCTGGCGGGATAGAGCTGTACATATTTACTAAACGAATCTTGGACCACTAATATGTATTGCATACCAAACCTACTCACAGGCAATGGCCCATACCAATCCACCATAACTATCTCACCGACATCGTTAGTTAACACCGCCTTGCACTCTCCTACTGTGGACTTATTAGTATGTTTGGCTTTCTGACATAGATCACATGACCGCAATATTTGTTTGAGAGTTTTTGTTAAATTGGGGATGTAAAACCGATCACTAATTAACCGTTTTATTCGCGCTTCCCCAAAATGACCCGCTTCTTCGTGTATAGCCTGTACCACTGACTTGTGTATTGCCTTAGGTACCACCAACTTATCTTGCCCTGACTTAAAGGACCTATGCATTAATTTATTATTTTCTATCACAAACTGCCCCTTCGGACCCCTAATAGTACTTCCAGGGTTTTCTCTAAGATGATCCAATAACTTACGTAATTCTATGTCATCTCTCTGCAGTAGTACAATGTCCTTTAGCTTAGTTATTATTTTCTTTGCTTTAGGTACAGTGAACATAGCTATCTGTGGGCACAACTTGCGAAATTCTAATATATCCTCCGCTCCCCTCGCATATCGGGATAAAACATCGGGGACTATATTGTCCTTTCCCTTCACGTATTCTACAATATAGTCAAATCTTTGCAGATACATAATCCAACGGGTAACCCTAGCGCTATATAAACTCCAATTGTTTATAAATGACAAACTTTTGTGGTCTGTTCTTATGACCGTGCGTGCCCCTCTCAAATAGGTTTCAAATTTTTTCAAACTATAAACTATAGCCCATAACTCTTGTTCCGATACGGTCCACCGTTGTTCAGAAGGCGTTAGCCCCTTGCTACAGAACCCTACGACTGACTCTTGATTCTCTTTATCTAATTGATACAGACAGCCAGCTATTCCAACCTTACTACTGTCAGTCTGTAAATAATAAGGTTTAGTTGGATCTGGGTGAACTAATATAATGCAGTCCAGGAAGGCTTCCTTAATTCTTTCGAACTGCTCTCTCTCCTTATCTGACCACTGCCATACGCTATCCTTCTGGAGTAATTTACAAAGGGGTGTCGTAAGGTAACTGTATTTCGCCACAAACCGCCTATAATAGTTGACTAACCCTAAAAACGCCCTCAATTGTTTTACGGTGCGCGGGACAGGGAATTCCTTAATAGCTGCTATTTTGTCGGGATCCATCTTGATTCCGTTTGGAGAAACAATGTGACCTAATAAACTAACCTGTGTCTGTATAAACTGACACTTCGACAACCTACAAGTCATTCCAGCGTCCTTTAAGAGAGCCAACACTGTATCTAAATGTTTAAAATGAACGTCTATATCATCGTCTCTACTAAATACAACCAAATCATCTAAATAGTTTACACAAAAGGACCTAACCTCTACTCCTAGTATAACGTCCATTGCTCTAGAAAAGCTGCCCACCGACGTTTTAAGCCCTTGAGGTAACACAAGGTACGTATAGCTTTTACCCATAAACGTAAAACCAGTATATTTAGTGGACTCCGGATGCAAAGGTATCTGAAAATACGCGTTATTCAAGTCTATTAAACTTATAAATTTTACTCCATTAAAAGACTGCAAAATATCTGACACCAACAAAATAATCTATTGTTTATACAAATGTATTCCGCTAGGCACAATTACCGTTTTTTTTCTCCTGAGTATTAAGCTCAGTAAGTTATACCAAGTAATAGATCTGTTCATGGTACAGTACATTCCATTCCCCCCTCAAATTACGAGTATTGTACGTCCGATGATATCTATCGTAATACCTACATGTAAAACGTATCTGACTAGGAATCGAACCCAACAGAAATATAGAAATAAACTAAGAAAATAAATTGGAGTACACAGTAAATGCCATTCCCCCCTTACAAAATGATTATAAAACGTTTGTTGGTCTTTTAAAATTACACTTATTAAATTAGTCTGCCTGGTGTGGAACCCAGCAAAATAATTCCATTTAACGTTAGATACTCAATGAAAGCTGAGTACAATGTACACACAATTGCACTCACATAGTATCAATCCATTTCTGTGTTTTGTAATCACACATACTTAATTTTATGTCTATTTGTGTTTTTGTAATTCTTAACAAAAATAGAATGTCTGTCTGGGAATCGAACCCAATAACCCCTACAATTAAAATCTAGATACACGATACACGCGATTAAATATAGTGTTAATCGTTATTTTGTGTTATGTCGTTCTTTAAATATACAGGATGTCTATGTGGGAGTCGAACCCAATAACCTCTACAAATTTATTTAAATTAAAGCGATAGCATGTACACAATATGCGCGTTAATCTTAGTTATATTGTTGACATTACATATAAAAATTTCCTGTTCGGGAGTCGAACCCAATAATATTCAGAAATAAATAGACATGAAATCACAGTCACTTAGTACAGTGAACCAAACAGTGTACAATGAAACAAATACAGTACAGAAAACACACAGTACACGCGATTGCACACAAACTACTCTAAAGTATACTTAGCTATGAGCTTATTCTCAAGCGTCTAAACTAATTACATCTAACATAGAATTACCCTTATTTATTCTAGAACTTAAGAAATTAAGTATTAGATCACTAGCTATATTGTTCAAATGCAAACTATCCCAACTCAGAAACTCACAGAACTCTGCGTAGTGTAACACAAATAAATTTAACACAGAGTAACCGTTATATGACAAAATGCGTAACTGATAAATTATATATCTACGTGTATAAATATTTAATACTAGTCTTGTCATAACACAGTACGCGATATATCATATATTGTAATATTTATCGACATATAAGTATTTTTATACTGGAATAAACAATTAACATGAAATATAAACTAAGTTGTGGCCAATGATATAATTTGTTTACGTTGTGTTGTGTATGTAGTAACCAAATTCAGTTCATCCTCGTTGCACTGACGTAATAATTACGGTTCAGTACATTTAATGACGAGGATCCTGGTCACGGCACCATATGTGATGATACCTCAAATATCCTAGCCTGAGTAAAGCAGTTTTTCCAACTATTAAACACGTAGCCAGCTCCCCTCCCTGTGGGGGAGGTCTAACGCTCCTCCAACCGCGCCAGACTGTAAGACTCGACCCTGACTGGACATCTTCCCACTGGCTTTTAAGTTCGAATAAACAACAAAACACCGCGATAAGAGGGAATCAAAGTCTAAATGAAATAATTAAATACATTGGTATTGGTTGTGCTTATCCTATCAGGCTTCCATCCATTGTGCACTTAAGCTTAAAGTGAGTCAATCAACTTCTACAACTGAATGCTCAAGGCCGCAAGGTCAGACACGTGAATACTGCTCGTCTGATGTGGCATTAACCCTTATGCTACCGGACACAACGCGTGCGCCGACGGCGGACTCGGACCGCTCGATCTCCATCAATTCATCAACAGCATCAGCGCTTTCCCGCAAACCGACCACCCAGGACAAGCCCATTAAGACGCTCTCCACTCAAGTACACGACACTCACTGAACCTTTTTTTTTTTTTTTTTTTTTACGTGTGGAAATCCCCTCGGACCGTCACCCCTCCGGGGTTTGCGGCGGGGTGGTGTGTCGGACTCGGACCGACTAAAACCACACGGTGTGCCACTCTGCGCCTGTAACAGGAGGGATCCGGGAACAGCTGTTGTTAAGACATCCGGACCCCTCCTAGCGCCAGCCCGCTCCTGGTGCGGGCTCCGTCTCGATGTGGATGTTCCTCTCTTTAGGCGACGTCCGGCACACGCGGACGCCGCCCCCTCGCGGCTGGCCAACTAATGCGGGTGGAGGGGAAACCCACCCCGTCCACCCGCGGCCACACTCAGGGCGGCATGAGGCTGTGATAGGCGGGCCTCCGCCGCCCGGTTCGCCGGCGGCGGATCGGGTCCGAGTGGAGGTCGTCCTCCCGGGCCCTCTCCGCCGCCTCCTTCCGCGAGATTACTACCTCGCAGAAGGTTGCGACCGCGGTAAAACAACTGTCGCTACCGGCCATGGAGCGTACTACGGCCGGTAGCGAGAGATCCACTCCGATGACTGCAGTGAGGGCCCGGCGCTGCGCCGCCCATGCGGGGCAGACCGCCAGCGTGTGCTGGGCCGAGTCCTCACTGCAGTCGCAGTGGTGGCAGGCGGGACTCAGTTCCCTCCTAGCGACCGTGTGCAGGTACTTCCCGAAGCAACCGTGCCCGGAAAGCACCTGCGTCAGTCGGAAGGAAAGGGTCCCGTGCTGCCGCCCTGCCCACTCGGCGATGACCGGCTGGAAAGCCTCCACGGCGGCGAAGCCAGCGCGTGGAGTCTCCAGCCGGAACGACCAACGAGCCATCGTGGCTCGGCGAGCGGCTTCGCGCCACTCGCGCACATCCTCGGGCGGAGGGCGAAATCCGCTCTCCGCCCGGCAGTCAGCCACTCGCCGATAAACCTCGGCGAGCACTTCCGCCTCCAAATCCCACGGGGGAGTTCCGGCCAACGCGCACGCCACCTCCGTCGAAACGGTGCGGTAACCGCGTATGGCTCTGACCGCCATTACCCTCTGAGGGCGCCAGAGGCGTACCCTATTCTGGGCGGTCAGAGCCGCCGCCCACACCGGTGCACCGTACAGTGCCATTGACCGGACAACCCCCGTGTACAGCCGTCTTGTCGCGACGCTGGGTCCACCCATATTGGGCAGAAGTCGCCCTAGGGCGGACGCAGCGCCGACCAGCTTTGGAGCAAGCTGTCGGAAGTGCTCGTCGAAGAGCCACCTACCGTCGAGGATCAGGCCCAGATATTTCATCTGGGCCCGAACCGGTACGAGGACCGAGTTGACCACGATGGAGGCGCCAGGGGGTGGACCACGACGGGGCCCATGGAATAACAGGGCCTCCGTCTTATCTAGGGCCACCCGTAAGCCCAGCGCCTCAATGCGCCCGACCACCAGGGAGACTCCCCCTGTGGCCAGGCGCGCCGCCTCTTGGAAGTTTGCCCCCCGGGCTGTCACGAGGGTATCGTCTGCGTAACAGATTACACCCAGCCCGGGGGGGAAATCGGCGCGAAGGGCCCAGTCGTACCCTATGTTCCACAAGAGGGGTCCAAGAACAGACCCCTGTGGAACACCGCACGACATGGGCCGACACCTCAGATTACCTTCTCGGTCCTCGTACACGACGGTACGCTCCTCTAAATAGTCTGCCACCAGCCGCCTCAGGTACTTTGGCACCCCATGATAGTGGAGTGCTTCCCTGATGCAGCTGAATGGCAGACTATTGAATGCGTTGGCGATGTCCAATGACACCGCCAACAGCACGCCGCCACAGCTCACGGCCTCTTCGGTCACGGCCCTCAGGCGCAACACGGCGTCGACCGTCGAACGCCCCGCCCGAAAACCAAATTGGGCGTCCGACAGATCGGGGCCCACCTCGCAGAGGTGCCGGACGATGCGGGCAGAAAGAACCCTCTCAAACAATTTGCCCGCCTCGTCCAGCAGCACGATGGGCCTATAGGCCGTGACCGAATCGGCAGGCCGTCCCGGCTTCGTCAATAGGACCAGCTTCCCGCTCTTCCAGCACTCAGGGAAGCGTCCCGACGCCAAGCTAGCGTCGAACACCTCCCCGAGGCGGTCTGCCATGTGGTTGAGGGCCAGGGCCAGCACTCGGGCCGGTACCCCGTCTGGCCCAGGGGCGGTGTTCTTGGAACGGATCCGTAGAACAGCCGCCCCTACCTCCGATTCCCGGACGGGCGGAACATTGTCCTCCCCGTGCTCCCCGTCGTCTCCGGCCAGGGAGGCCATCGACGGGGGAGTGTGTTCCGCCCGTTGTGGGAAAAGGCCCTCAACCACTTCTCGCAGGAAGCTGGGCTGGAGAGTCTCCGTAAGGGGGGGGCCCGACGCGCGGAGCTTTTGTCGCACCGCGCGGTAAGGGCGACCCCAGGGGGC